CGTAGGGTGGCGGTGCTGCGGGGGGAGCAGGAGCGGTGTCACCAGGCCACCAGGCCCCCTGGGGAATAGGGAGGGTGCCCGTTCCCCCCCGGTGCTCACCTGTGGGGTTGTAGACGGGGGGCCCGGAGGGGTACATGGGGTACTGGGCAGCAGGGCCGGGCGGGGGGTACATGGCCATGGGGGTGAAGCCAGGCTGGGGAGGTGTGGGGCCGGCTTTGGGGTCCACGGGGAAGGGAGCTGGGGGAGCTGCAGGGTGGTAGCTGGACAGGGGAATTTCCGGGCCTGTGGGAGAGATTGGGGAGGTCTGCAGCAACCCGACACAGGGACAGGGATGGTGCCTAAGAGTGGTGGTGGCCCTCAGGCTGGTGGCCGCTGAGGTGTCAGCCAGACCCTCACCACACTGCACAATTTTCCCCCCCGCATCCCTTCAAGTCCCACCACCTCATCCCCCACAATCCCTCCACCGTGTACCTCAGCACCTCTCCTTCTCCCCACCCCTGTACCCTACCCCTCCTCCTACACCTTAATTCCTGCAGTCCACCCCCCACCCTCCTGATCCCCCGCTTCATTCCAACAGCTGCCCTTCTCTTTGCCTCCCCTACCATTCCCGCCACCCCACACCGACAGAATTCTTCTGCTCTCTCTCATCTCTCATCCCTTTAGCTTCCACCTTTTACCCCAACACCCTCCTTGCCTCTTCCCAAACCCCTCCACTCTCTACCTACAGGACCCTCCTGCACCTCCCACCCCTACAGCCCACAGACACACACCAATTCCCACAGGCCTCTGTCGAGGCCCCCCCAATCCCCCACCCTGTACCTACAGCATCATCATGCACCAAGCCTCCTCCTGCACCCCCCATCCATGCATCCCCCATTCCTGCACCCTCCCATTCCCCCAGGTCCTCTTAACCCTGCACCTCCTTAGCTGCAGGACCCTCTTGATCCTCTCTTCCTGCACACCCTGCATCCCCCATCCCTACAGCCCCCACCAGACCCCCCTTCCCCCTGAAATCCTCTAGGCCCCCTCAACCCCACTCCACCCACTTTTCTTACAGGACCCTCCTGCACCGCCATCCCAGCCCCCCAGCCCCGCACCTTGCAGGGGTGTGCGGGAGTGCTGCCGGCGCTGGTACAGGTAGCAGCAGGAGCACATGAAGCAGCAGACGATGGTGGTGACGATGGCGATGAAAAGCACCACGGCTGAGGCAATGCCCGCGATGGTCTTGGGGCTGTGGGACCCCCGGGCATGGGGAGCAGGGCCAGGGAGGCACCCGCGGCACACACCCCCAGCCAGCACTCAGTGACACTGCCCAGTGCCCAGAACCAATGCCCAGTGACAGTGTCCAGCACTGCTATCAGCACCCAGTAGCAGTGACCACTGCCCAGCACCCAGTAGCATTGCCCACCCACTAGCAGTGCCCAGTACCCAGTGCCAATGCCTTGTACCAGTGCCCTCTCCCAGTGACCAGCACCCAGTGGGAGTAAGCAGTGCCCAGCACCCAGTGCAAGTTTCCAGTACCAGCATCCAGCACCCAGTATCAGTGACCAATCTGCAGCATCCATCCCCCAATGTGCAGTGCCCAGTATCAGTGCCCAGTACCAGTGTCCAGCACCCAGAACCCAATACCAGCACCCAGTACCAATGCCAAGAGCCTGGCACCCAGTACCAGTACCAAGTGCACAGCACCTAGCAGGAGTCCCAACACCCACTGCAAAGCACCAATGCCCAGTTCCACTGGCCAGAGACCAACAACCCAGTACCAGTGCCCAACACCCAGTACCACTGCCCAGTGCCCAGCACCCAGCACTCAATGCCCAGCACCCAATGTTAGTGTCCAGCACCCAGAGCTAACAGCCTAGCAACCCAGCAGCACTGCCCAGTGCCCAGTATCACTCCCCAGTGCTCAGAACCGTTGCACAGCACCTGCATTCATCATCCAGTAACAGTGCCCAGTGCCCAACACCCAGTGCCCCCACCAAGTACCAGTGCAGAGCACCCAGCATCCAGCACCCGCTGCCACTGCTCAGTACCAATGTCCAACCCCCAGTACCAGTGCCCAGCACCCAATACCAGTGTCCAGCACTACTGCCTAGTGCAGAGCATACAGTGACCAGCACCCAGTAAAACTGCCTGTCCCCAGCACCCAGTACTAGTGCACAGCACCCAGTCCTAGCACCCAGGCTGCCCAGGAGAGCCCCCAGCCCCATCAGCCCCGGCTGTGGCACCTGAAGGCAAGGCAGTGGCGCTGCTGGCGCTCGGTGAGCAGGCGCAGAGGGTCTCGGCAGCAGTACCGCTGCTGGCACGTGCCACAGCAGAAGGTGAAGAACTCGCAGTCGAAGCCAGGGTGCCATGACCCGTTTCTGTCCACGTACCACAGGCAGTCTTCGCCCCCGGCCACTGTGGACAGCCACCCACCACCGGGGCCTTGGAGCACCTGGCCGTCACCACCCTCAGGGGCATCAGCAGCACCCCCATGCCCTTCCTCTCCCACGTGAGCACAGCCTGTACCCCACTGTGTCCTATTCCCCTTGTACCCCAGTCCATCCTGCCCCATGGATCCCCAAAATAGGCCCCTATACACTCCCAAATACCCCACTGCTTCCTGTCCCCCTCATATCCAGCCCCACATCCCCTATACCTTCCTGTGTCCTGCCCCATGGCCCCACAAACGGTGTCCTTATGTACCCCCAAACCACTGCTCTGCTCCATCCTGCCCCACATCCCTTAAAACCCTGCTCCATTCTGCCCCTGTGTACCCCCATATCCTGCCCCATCCCACTCCACTTCCTTGCAAACCCTGCCCCTATGTACCCCCATACTCGGCTCCATCCAACCCTACACCCTTGCAGACGCCACTCCATCCCACATCTCTCCGACCCCTCCAGATTCCTCCAGATCTCCCTCGCTTCCCCTCCTTCCGCGTGTTCCAGTGGCACTTCCCACTCTATTTCTGTCCGGAGCCACCTGTCTTCCCAGAAATAGCCGCGGGCCGAGGTCCGGGGGCGGCCGGAGGTGCCTGAGCAGCCACGGAAATGGGCTTTGCGGGAATCTCACGTGGCGTTGTTACACATCCCAAAATGGGATCACGGCAGTTCAGGGACAAGTGGAGAAACTGAGGCACAGGGCTCGTCCATAGGAAGCCCCCAGGTTCCCCGGGGCTGCGCATCCCGGCTCGGTCAGCCACCGGCTCCGTCCGTCCCTGCTGCTCCCGGGGTCACCCCGAAAGCGGCGAATGGGAGGCGGGTTCGGGGGCAGTGGGCACAGTGCCCAGGGGGACACTTTGTTGCAAGCAACCCCCGGTGAAAGGGGCCGTGTGTGACACGACTCACAGCCACGGCCGGTGGCACGAAGTCCCTCCCACCCAGCGGGATCCCCGTGTCACAGATGGTGGCACAGCGTCCAGTCGCAGGGTGGCACCGGGTCCCCCGGCCCTCCCCGGTCCCCGTATATCTCTTACCCATCGAGGCGG